CAAACATGCACATGGTCCGGGGATCGACCCCTGCCGACGAACATTTTTTATCAGTGGTCGGCTTGCGAAACTCGAGCTACCGATATTCATGCTGAAAATTCCATGCTTGTGACAAAAATATGGTGCGGAACCAAGCTATAATAAAAAATCAAAGCACATTTTCATGTGATAAAATCAGTGGTACTGTCAAAAAATATGAAGTCATACCAGTTTCACTGCTGATATTACTCTAGCTTTCATGCTACTCCAAGCTTTCAACTTACACCTAGTATGCTACATCACCTTTTGTTTCCCTTCATTAAACGCGGGCTAATAAACACACCTCACTTTATTCAAGACTCCTTATCAATATGTAGGTCCTCGAAAGTAGCATGAAAGACAAGTAGGTTTCTTCTAGGAAGCCGGAGTGATCTACCAATTAACCACTATTTCCTGAAGTCAAAGAAGCCCATGGTAATCATCTAGAAAAATAGTCTCCCCATACCAGTGCGTTTAACTTTGTAGACTTATTTCGTTTGGTAGAGAAGGTAATATGAGCGAGAACACAGATTTCATAGGCATGCAAAAGGAATTAACTTACATCCACCACCTGAAATGTTGGGGTTGTCGCCATCAGGAGGACTTTGAGTGGTAAAGAGGAGAAATTTCTATGCAAACTTGAACGTAGGCGATTGCCACTTTTTCGCGGATCACATGGTGAAGGCTAAGCCAGTAAGAAGGTGACCACTGAAGTAACCTGGAGATGACTGTCACAGGCCTCTGTATCGCCAAGTAGTTACACTGCATGAACGAATCCGAGGTCGTTTTTTTTGTTGACCACGACTAGATACAGCATTCACTGCTGTTGCGTGGCCATATGTTCTGACAGAGCTGAGTCTTAAACGCACAAATGACCAGCTACTTAGTGGAGAAGATTTGTGGCTTAGGTGGACGATTTTGACTTAACTGTGTTCTCCGAGCTGATTGGTTTAGTTGCGAAGCCTTCGTCGTCCTTCTTCATTGCAGGTTTCAATATGAAATGAGCTTGTTTGAACTGGTTTAGAATGACAAGTGGAACAAGTGAAATAATGCCGGGGATAGTTCAAAGTGAAAATAGTAATAGTAGCAATTGACGTAGTATAGAGCATACAAACCGAGTAGAAAAGATGAAAAAATGAAAAATTGGTGGAGCCAAAATATGATTAGGGATTACCATACTTCAGCACAGAGGGATTAAATATGGCAGTCCCTAATCATATTTTGGCTCCACCAATTTTTCATTTTTTTCATCTTTTCTACTCGGTTTGTATGTTCTATACTACGTCAATTGCTACTATTACTATTTTCGCTTTGAACTATCCCCGGCATTATTTCACTTGATCCACTGGTAATTCTAAATTAATTCTTTTTTACAACGTTAAATTCTATGCTATCAAATTACACACAATATTATGTAGCGTTTTTATTTCATTCGGCTTGTTTCAATTCTCCATCAATGATATAACTGTATATCCTGACAACCACTATCGTGATTGGTTGTTAAATTACGCCTCTACTGATTATTTTTATTGACCTGGAGTTTCAACTTTCTTGTCATATGTTTTACTTTTAATTAGCTGGCGAATTCCGTCTGAAGCAGTGCGCTTATTAATAACTGATTCCCTTGAGTACTAGGCCTCTAGAAACTCAGCCCAGATGGCGCTAGCCTGATTGCCCGACAATCTGCTTTCACCTACTCATCAGAGTTTTAGGTACAAAAACGTGTCTTTTTAGAATCTCTATAGTAAATACGACGAAGTAAGAAATTACTTACTCCTGGATGACAAAGATGAGTACATTATTATGAGTAGTTGCATGTCAATCATATCAACCAGTAGTGCTTGCTAGCCAGAACCCTGGCAAGAGTGGGGCACCGATCTGAATGACCTGGCTTCCAAGTGAAACTATGTTGACATTTCGCCACTCAGGGTGCAAAAATCACTGCTATATATCGTGAATTGGCAGAAGTAGTAATTAGTAGACCTATGGATCGGGTTACACGGGCTGAATGGTCTACTACCTCGCCTCGGATATAGTAGGTCCTGGATCTGAACCTAGATGGGTACATACTACCTCTCAGCCACAAACTATAACTAAACGGCTGCCCAGTACTTCTTGGTTTTCCAGTGGATCACTGAGTGACGTCCGCCTATGACCTTTATTTACATGAAGCAGCACAAATACAGTGTCACGGTTAAATGTCCAGACTGCATTATGTGGCGTTGTTGTCCTCATCAACACAGCGGGCCTGTGCATCTTACGATGTTTTAAGCATTGATCTATGCTGTTGTCGTTGAGACCTGTGTACATTATATTTGGTGGTTTTAGTATCCCAAATATGCGAACGTAATTTCTGTGCGATTTACAAGACCATGTAGGCTAGACTTTACCGAGATTGCGGGTTAATGTCTAAATTACATATTCACAATACTTCCTTTAGAGTAAACGTAATAAGTGTGAAGTTGATCTGCAAGTAATCTTGATGTGACATTGTCTCCCTAACAGCATGGATGTTTCACGGATTGTCTCGTAGTTTGCGGATCATCCGCTAATACTGGAAAGCATATGAGGTCTGTTTATGTGTATGGCGTTAGCTGTAGACTGCAAATCCCTTTACAGATATGAGAATTTCACCTAGTACTAGTAGTATCAGTGTATCCACTTTGCGTACTACTATATAAAATTAGCTTTTTTTAACTTCATTTTGTACTAGCCCTTACATATCCTTCATTATTTATAGGTAAACGGAGCCTATCGGATATGAAATCAGCTGAAATGACGATCGGCCGAACTACCGCTGCTATTGCACTTGGTGAAATGTTTAATATGCCCTTAATTACCACTCCTTCTAGACTTCTTCTGTTCGTCGCTTTGCTACAGGCTTTTTTAGTATTTGAAGTTTGATTAATGCATGTCAAGCTTATTTAGTGGGATAGAGACTTACTGTGACATTATGGGACTGTTACTTCTGCCATTCATAGGATTTCTCTCTTGCTTCTATGCAGTGTCACATTTTGATAACTAATTAGGATTTATCAGGGATAATACTGTTCTGATTGATACCGTTGAGTCGCCTTCTTTTGCTGCACGTTTGCGCAATGCTAAACACCAAGTCTGTAGTACAAGTATATGTAGTAATTTTGGGCTAATAGCTACTCTACACGTGTTAATATGAAGTGGCACCATCAAATTAACTGTGTACTTGATAATGAGCTGAGAAACATTTTTTATTCATTCCTAATACGCCGCTGAATCATGTGCTATTAACTGATATCTATCACATTTGTGATCAATAACTGCAGTATTTGCATATCTATGTTATGGATATTAAATTGCTAACGGTTTTATTAGTCTAACTAGAAGTAAACAACTTTTGAGACTCCACATTATCCTGCTTCACGTGTTCTTCGATCTTTAATCATGATAGTAGCGTGTTATACAGAACTCATCACACCGCGTATCATTCTCAAACGTACCTCCAACTAGCTTAGTTCGTACACTCACCAGATTATTGAATTTTATACGGTTTTTAAATTGTTTTGCAGCATATTCAATGACTGTTAAAACTGGCTTCACTATAGACAATTCATATTCATGTATTCAGATCTAGTGTGTCAGGCATTTACATGCCTAGATAACAGTTACATTTTAAGAGGTTTCTAACTGCCTTCCAATTTCCTTTTGTTCCCCAGAATACATGCAAATACAACATATTCGTACCTCAAATGTGGTTCATACTGGTTTCATTTAGGTCCTATCACAACATGCCAGGTGCTTGTAACCTGATAATAGACATTATTATGTTACAATAGCTTATTAGAAGAACTTCAAAGCTTTTTCAACTTCAGCACAGTTTCTAAATTCTCCAGGTCTAATATGTTCTCCGAAAAACTTAGCAAAATGGGCTTTAGCCATGCTTTCTTCACAAGACTGACTCTTAGATCGTTGCAAGCTATAAAAATCGGCTTGAGACAAGTCTCCTCTTACAGATTTCTAAATATTAAGCAACCGTTTGGACCATCAACAGCAGCAACAACCAAAAAATGAACTGGAAACAACAGGTTCTACCATCGAAACACTTCATATACATAATTTCAAGGACTGTACAACGTATTATTCCGTTAACTGAGAAATAGCCAAAACATTGTGAGGAAGCATGAAAGCAACCTATGATACGATTACAATGAAATGATGGACTAACCATGTGGTGAAACTTTAGAAACGACTGAAATTAATTTTGATAGCAATGTAAATCAAAAGGATTTAAAAAGCAACATTTGTGAATAGTGTGAGTCAAGATGAATTACAATTAACTAAAAGATAAACGTAGAAACCATTGTGTGTATGAACGGCTAGGAAACGGTAATTCAATATGGCCGACTGACATGAACATGTGCCTTATCCAACCAGTGGACTCGAGTGTGGTGTATAAGTTCAGCCACTTTTCCTTCTAGGCTTACATATTTATCAGTAAATATACTATCATTATCGTCTTGTTTTCAGCTAACCTAATGACCAGCAGATCAAAAGACTTAGTCCATCCATAACAGTACCACAGTCTTGGTACACAGCAAACTGCAAATCACATATGACCAATTTCCTATTCTACTCCTGTAGGAATAATTCAAGGCTACAGCAGACGACCGATGGGAAAAATTATGCAGAAACTTGCCAGCAATTAGGAAGCCCTGGATTGCGAAGAAAAATCGAGCCAAAAGAAGTCAGTCTCACTAATACCATTTCGTAGAATGTATATTGGATGCTATCTAAGATGTACAGGAGGTATTGAATTTAGTTTGATCCTCATCCGCTTACTTATATCTTAAGAAAAAACTGATACAAAGTCTATGGGAAGCAAAACATGAGTGCTCAATATGGCAGAGACTTACATATTCTACAGCATTGAATGTGAGTGAAATGTTCAGATACAGTAGCCTATCCAAATTTGACCTTGATGCGGTCACTGCGAAAAAGATAGTGGTATGTCTGCACTTTTGGAAGATATCTTCGATGTGAAGGATGTTGACAAGGATGGTAAAAAGTTCGACAAAGTCTCACGGTTATTTTGTGAGAGCGAATCTTTCAAGATGGGTTTGATTTTGGACATACACGCACTTATCTACAGTCTGACAAAGGGTGATAAGTTCCGCATGGTACTTACGAAGACATTGTTAAACGACCTTGGTGTGGATGCAGATGACGATGATGAAGATGATGCCGCAGATGAGACAGATGAAAAGTTGGCAAACAGCAAAATGGCTGAATTCGATTATGTGTGCTACGGCAAAATCTACCGAATAGAAACGCAAGACAGTGGCATTGATGCAAGTCGAATATCATGTTACGTTTCCTTCGGTGGTTTGCTTATGCAGCTTACAGGGGATGCTAGTAATTTGCAAGGATTTCGTGTTGGCAAACATTTATATCTGATGATTAAGAAACTCGCCTTTTAAGAATTGAACCATATTTAAGAAATGTATATATTGCAAATATTTTTATTAATTAATCTACATGTACAGAAGTGGTGATTTAAGTTTCTCACTTGGTCGAAATGTTACTTAAATTGTGGAAATTTCCACAATTTTATCATTGATGTTAATGTGTTCACATCTTTTATGGTTTTCGAAACATGTTGTGACGACACCCAGTGATACAGAGATAGGAGAAATCTTAGCCACCATACTTGTGTATAAGCATGTATTTGCTATTTAAGTATGCATTTTAAGAGAACTGGTTGTCTCCCAGTGGCATGCCTTTTTATTTAGCTAAACAGTGTCAGTAATGCGGTAAGTCTTAAACCGTGGAGAAGTATAAATGTTCATGCTGAGTTAGTTGTTGACCATACAAATTAAATATAAGTTGTAGGCATTAGTTAAATGAAATTTCCTTTGTAAGAAATTTTTCATGAGTTGATGAATTATGTAGGAAAATATAAATTACTTCGCGACCTTACAGCTCTTATGAATATGAAATACACTTGTAAACTTCGGGGCAACAGTAAAGAATAGACATCAAAGTCAAATGACCATAAGTACACCAATTCTATTCTAAGTGAAAATTGGTATTTATTTTAGAAAAAGATGTACTTATAAAACATCTATATATGCTTAAATTGAGTTTTACAGGTTATTTATCTCTAGGATGCTGTAAAAACCGGTTCCAGTTTCTCAAAGGAATGTCTGTAGACACATCAAACCAGTGTCAATATAAAAGACCCAATTAGATGCATATCACATCGGGAACCATCTATTATTATAATACTGTTTTTTAGATGGACCCAGAATCCTTTAATAGAATTTGTATGATGTATGATTGACTTTATGATGAATATAGTCGAGTGATGATAGTTGCGAATAACCTTTCCACTCGAGTATATGAATGGTAGTGCCTAGTAGGATTAGTCTTATTATTGGTATAAAAACATTTGGGTGAAACTTGCAATGAAAATAATGAACAACATTCATGTGTAATGTCGAGTCATATTATTGGTTGATTGAAAGCCATTCTGCCTTGGTGTCTATTCTTAACTGTTGCCGATTTCGCAGTTCTCATATAAGTCATTTTGTGACTTGTTCATCGTGGTCGAGAATTACTGGAAGTATATAGTCCAGCCTGTTGAAATTAAATGGTGCTAAGCTCTTCCCATTAGGGTTTCCAGAAAATACAACTGTATTTGCTGAGGTGATAACTATCAAGCATTAGCTTCATTTACAGATCTCTGTGAACCTCTCTGCTGCGAAATTAATAAACATTTGTTGTTCATCTGGCCAAAATTTTGAAAAATACGGTCTAAAATATTTGGATTGATAAAGCGACCCCGTTTTTACGTCACACCTATTTCATCATAAAGATTTTATGTATGTGAAATGACTACTAACAACATATACAGAATCTTTTGTTATGTTTTCTTAGGATATCATCCTCACTAAAACCATTTTCCTAACCATGGGACTAAGTGGAGTCTCACACAATAAGCTAACATATGTAAAGATGTTTTCGTAAACTACTCTTGAAGACAGAAAAAAATTACCGCTAACCTTTATGCCGCTATAATATTTCTGAGAGCTTTAAATATTTACAAGTGGATAATGCCCTGTGAGTCAAAGTCCCATTAGGGATTACAAATTGCTGTCAATATATGCATTATAGACTAAAAAATGTAACTTAATTTAAAGAAGCAGTGTAAGTCATTTGTTGTAGAAAAACCGACTCTTCATTGCATATTTATAATACGATGGTGCACTTTATTATTACCGTGAATACTAGGAAGGCATCCAGTCTATTGTAGAGGTGATAGTCAGGCGATAAACTAAAGATTAAAGTGAAAAAAAAAACACTAGACGACTTCTGTAGACTCATCCGAAATGATCGATTCCAGAAAACTAATATTGGTGGGCTTCTAACGTGATAAACGAAAGCTTCTCGAAAGTAAACCGGAGATTTTCTTAACAAACTCAAACAGTGGTGTTCGACAGGAGAAGAGGTCTTCAGCGGTACTAATCAGCTCTTCAGGCGGAATAAGAAAACGGGCTCTAGATGAGTAATACTAAGTGGAAAGATCTCTAGGAGTGATATTGCTTTGATAACCTTTGTAAGAAGAGAGCTGTATCTTTGGGACAGAGACATTGGCGGACAGTTCACCTATTTACTATCCTACTGTTACAAAATTTGCCAATAACCTAAATTAAAGTAAGTGAGCTGAGCCTGATTCTGTTCAAGAAGGACAGAGAAATTATTGGCCATATTAACGTAGGCCTTAATCAGTGCAATGTATTTTTTCGTCATTCCCGTTACTGCCAAGCATCGCCAGACAGCCTCTCGGTCGACAGAATCGAATCCCGCCTTTAGTTCAAGAAATATAATGATTGTTGGACGCCGGTAGGAATGCTATGTTCTAGAATCTGTCGAAGGGTGAAGATATGATCAATACACCCTCTTCCTGGTCTAAAGCCTGCCTGGCTCTCTCGTGTTTGTGCCTCCCGATCACCACTTAGTCTACGCATGATTATTGAGCCTAGGACTTTAGATACTATATTAGTCAAGCTAATCCCTCTGTGATTATCACAGGAAGACTTGTCACCTTTCTTGTATATCGGGATGATCAGGTCCTCCATAGTCTTGTAAGGGTTAAATGGGGCACGGAAAAATAGACTCGAGAAGACCAGGAACGCTTCAGGCCATGGGTGACGGTGTATTAGCCAGTTCATCACCTTCCCACTAGGCTTAGAATGCAGATAGACTCATTGGCTTCCAACACACCATATTTATTTACCCGAAAGCAGCATTCGGCCACGCCGATCGACGGGTGTTTGACTATGAAGGGAGAACGAATCTGAAGTGGTGGAACTCACTATCACCATTCTTATTTAATTCTATCATGGATATACGGATGGGTGTGATCTTGGCCGACTTTCCATGTTAGAGAGTAACCTGCCACTACGGGAAACTCGTCGATCAAAGGGATTCCTCAAGGTAAGGTAGCCGACGCAGTGCAGTGCTCTCTAAATACCGTCAGCCGAAATCTAAGTGTTTTGGTCACGTAACTTGCTCCTGTCAAATGTACGACGATGACGCAATACAAATCCGCGTGGACTCCCAATTCAGGAGTGAGAACTGAAATAGTTGAATGTTGGCCACTTTAGTTATTCGAGAAGTTGCGTCACTCCTAATGGACCAGCTGTAGAAATCTCAGAGAAGATACAGAAGGCTTACTGGATAAATGTCAACTTGCATCATTCGCACAAGCGTGCTACTCGGCCATCCATTAAATGGCGTTTGCATTGTATGGTAGTTCGCTACACCCTAGGAACTTCGGCATGGTCGTGGAAAGTAGACACTTCTGTTCGGCCGTTTGTGTTAGGTAAACCAACATGGTTAATAATGATTTAGTTAATGACGGGGTGGGAAAGGTAATCAGATATGCTGAAAGACTGCCTTCCTCAGCCAGCAATTTTGCATGAAGTACATTTAATTTAGAAGATATTTAAGAATGGTCAGACAGGAACAACAAGACTGTCTTTAGAGTGATTGTTGCAAACAAACTGCTTGAAATGTTGTCCAGTTTATGATACTGCATCAGTGTCTGCCTTATCGTCTGATTTATTTTATTACAAGACTGTGTACATCATTGAGTATGAGCTGCGGTCGTTGTTCTGGTCATAGGATCCCAAAATACAGAGCTAATAATTCCAATCCTGCCCCACTTATCAAGGTTTGAGCAGTCAGGTTGTATCATCCTTACCATCCCAATGTATGTAGTACACTGCATAGTAATATAAGCGGTTGTTGAGTAACATATTCTTCTGATCTCACTTAAACTGTGAGAAAGTGTAAGGATGCTAGGATTCTGAGTACCGCTTGTAATCTTTTAATAAACTATTCCGTCTCATAGCTTGTTAAAGGCATTCTCAGTCTAAGTGAGCAATTCGTGTCCCACTCACGCATTAAGTACGGTTTACAGACAATATAAATATGTATTGCAAACAAGCGACAACTGTAAAAACAGCAGCATTTAGTGAATTCATAAATTCCCCTAGGACTCGTCATCTGAATACTCCACAAACATTTTCACTTATACAATTTTTTAAGGCTAAATATATACTTACACATGAGCATTGTGAAAACAAACAAGGATCAATTTCAACAAATACATGATCCATAAGGGGTAAGTGATGATCTGTTAACGTCATTAGGAGGTGAATAATATTCATCTAAGCACATATTGTCCTTCCCTTTTCTCTTCACAATGTTTTTCCCATTATTATTGTTTTTATGATTATTTTATCTGAAAGTTTTATTAGGGCACGTGCATATAGAAAACCATTGCTAAGTATTAATCTTCGTGAGAAGAGTGTTTACACCATCTTATGAGTTGAAATCGAACGTGTTAAAATCTTGTTATTTAGTCCTATATGGTTTACAAGTGTTAAATGTATTTATGCTTTCTACGAAGTTTATAATTGTATTGATTCTACCACAACAACTCCAGTTTATTTGTTAATATGTGCGATGAATATTATTCACCTCATAATGACGTTAACAGATCATCACTCACCCCTTATGGATCATGTATTTGTTGAAACTGGTACTTATTTGTTGTCAAAATATTGATGTGTTTGTAAATATTTAACCTTAAAAAAGTGCATAAGTAAAAATGTTTGTAGAGTATTCAGATGACGAGTCCTAAGGAGATTTATGAATTCACTAAATACTACTTTTTTCACAGTTGTTGCTTGTTTTAAACTAAAGCAGTTTTCATTTAGAAGCATGTACGTTATTTACGTTAGTTTTGCCAGTGATATTCGAAAGAAATGCTTGTGACATCTCATTAAAGCAGTCAGCTCGAGGTACGAAATATGCCTGGTATTTGTATTCAGAAACAGAAGTAGATGTCCGACTGTGTACGTTAGTCTCACAAACACTGCGACCTCAGAAAAACTAAATTGGATTTTCA